CTGTTGCTTATTTCTTCCTGCTCCCTCATTTACATTTTATTTCACGTGCAACGGCAATAAAGAGCTACTCTATGCTAAACACACACTCACCCTCTGCAGCATGGACTCAGTCCAGCCCCCCCCGCTGGGCTCCACGGCCCACTGCAGCACGGCGCCCTCTATGGCGAGCAGCACATCACATTGCAGGAGGTTCACCAGGCTGCCGAAGAGAGGGCAGAGGGGGGGAGGAGGGGGAGGGGGCAGGGCTATGCACACAAAGACACGTTACCAAGGTGACCATGTCATCCATCAGTCTTCCTGCTGGTGTTTTGTACAGGTGTGCTTACCTGTGTCCTCGCCACTCTGTCTCCTCAGCTTCCTCTGAGCTTCCTCAGCCTGAAACACAGGATGCAGCGTTACCATAGCAACAACATGTACACCAATCAATAACGCTCTGATCCGCATCCAGATCAGTGAGCGTACCTTTGACTGGTCAGCTCTGCTGTAGTGATGGAAGTACAGGTTGAAGTATCTGTTCCACTCAGGGCGGAGCTCATACAGCCCTCTACCTGTCACACCTGGCTTCCTGTTAGTACAAATACACACAGTACTGCAGTACAAATACACAGTAATACACTCAGTACTGCAGTTATTGTAACATAGAGAACAAAGAGAAATTGTAAGGATGCACGTGCATTTAAGGTGGACTGATGATATTTGAAGACTGACTTGAATGAAGCCACGCTGTCGATGACTCTCTCCAGCCCCGTCTCCTTGTTCCCCTGAAGACACAAACTCAGGTTATTACATCAAACTGAAAATGTTTCAGCGCACAGAAGTAAAAACAGTAAATTCCCTGCGCTCAGAAACACTAAATAGCAAACAAACAAAGCATTTTAGCCTCAGGTAAGTCAGGTTCACCTGTTCAGCAGATCTTGTATGATCGAGCCTTTAACCCTCTGGGGTCACCTTTGATTTTACTCATTTACTTGTTTGCTATCATTCTTTTCAGCATGACCTCACAGGTCTGAATTAAAGTCAAACTACTACAGTTGTATTAACACAACTGATCTAAAGTCAGGTAAAAAACATAAAATCTGAGTAGAAAAAAGGTTATTTTTTGCTGTAACTAACACAAACATTAATGAATCATTGTCGTAATTTGAAATGCAAATATAAACTGTACATTTTAATAACCTATGCACAAGTTATTTGCATCTATTTACCTAAAAATGCAGCCAAGGCGGGCCATTTCAAACCATTTCAAACTATTCACAGAACAATCAGCTGTTCTGCATCAAATATGCCACACAAATTATTTCCGCCACTCCAAAATATAATTTGTGTCCACTATAAGATAAAGGAGAACATCACAGCCTGATACCTGCAGGCCAGACAGCAGCAGGTGTGTCCCCGCTCCTGCTCACACCTGGAGACACGGTTTACACTGTAATCTGCCTTTGGTGGCTTTTTGGCAGCAACTGTGACATTCAGCAGTCGACTAACTACACAAAATTGCACACTAAGTACATAAAACTGCACACCAACTACACAAAAGTACACACTAACTAGCCACAAACTACACAAAACTACCCAATAGATACACAAAAGACTACACAAAACTGCA